ATTTATGAATGCAAACGAGCTACCGAACAACAGGAGACCTGAAACAGCAACAGTAAACGCCATTGGTGGGGGCATGCAACACAATCATAGTGATTCTTTCTATTGCCGGCATTGAAATCGTTTTTCTTGTTCAGCAGCCTCAGCACGCATTTAAAGCAATTAGCCTAAAAGTGTGTTACCTTTAATTTCATTAAGTTATATAGCTTTCACTTGGAAAGTGGATACCCTGGAACAGTCAGAGTGTTTAAGGTGAAATGGTGTTCTTTCCAAGTAATATTTAAGCTTCTATAAGAGTAAATGATAGTTACAAGTTTAAAATAGTTACAAATATATAAAGTTTATTATATAAAATATTTAACATATATTTTCCACCGCATTCTGGTAGTTTCATTAACGTTTTTCCTTTGATATTTCGCAACTTTGTTGCCAAGGCCTTGCACAATAGCCGGGCCAGTAGTGCAAAAAGTGCAACTCAATCAGGCGGCGGTCGAGTGCTTCGAGTCAAGCCGTTGAAGCCGCAGTTCTAATGAAGCAATTTTCGTTAAAAGCAGTCACCGCAGCTACCCGCATTTCCCTTCCTTACTTTCATCATAGTCCTTAACGCTTTCGCCCCCTACTCTGTTAGCCGAATAGTATGTGGATTCGGTTTTCAACATTTTTAGTTGCCTCGGCGCGTGTTTGTTTCAAAAAGCTCAAATTGCGAGTGCCAGGAACAAAATCCGTTGGCCAAAGAAAAGGAATTACAGCTGACTCTGGCACTGACTTTTCGCAATTATCCAGAGCTCCAAAATCCCCGCCCGCCTGCCATTGAGAGCCACCTTCAGTCCAGGCACTCCACACCATCCTAGGCTACGTGCGAATTTATTGATAGCGATATTTTGTTACAGGGAAGGGGGGTTTCGGGCCAAGGACAGGGGTTAGGAGTTAGGGGGAAGGGGGCAGGGAATGTGTTTTAAGTGCATTTTACATTTCCGGTCAATGGCGCTAACCTCACGAAATCTGCAGGACTTGCTATTATTTTTTTTCACTCACTCTCTAAAACACTGACCGAAACTAAGGGTTTTTAATAGAAATTTTTAACAGTTTAACGTTTTATTAAATATTTAAAAATATAAAAATTAAGTCTTAGCTTTGCTGTATTTTTAATACATTTATTTGTTACTAAATATAATTTTTTTCAGTTAAACCTCTTCTCACTTTATTCTGATTACATTTCTTATTATATTCGAACAGTTTTCGCTTTGCTTTTCATTTGCCATTTGCGTCACGCGCCCCCTTTGACTCCCCGCCTTGCCCTTTGGTCCTTCGGGACAGGCTATTGAGACCTCAACGATCCTAGGATGCTACGTGCCCCGGCGCCCAAGGGTTAAGGGGCATTAAAGAAAGCGAAAGAGACACTTCGAAGTGTCGACACTTTCCAACTTTTGCAGCTACTTTTTATTTTATTTTATTTTATTTTTTTGTGGCCTCTGCAATTGCTGCGTAATTTTTATTAGCTCTGAATGAGCATCTCAAGTGGCGCTCTATTTATCTTGGGAAAAAAACAAACCCCCCTACCTCGTCTCATTTCCAAATTGCCAACATAAATTTATTTGTTTGGCAAAACAATTTGGATCTCAGGCCCCCCCCCACTCCAAAGGACCTCCAGTCCTGGGCCTTTAGTTCACTTTGATGCGTGTCTCGTTTTACATTTTTTGACAATTTCATTGTTCCGTGGCTGTTTTTTATTCCGGAATGATAATTTTTGGCGCGTGTGTGAGGTGGGAGTCACGTCATATGACAAAAGGGGGAGTGGCAATGGCTGAAATGCTTTTATGCCCAAATAACAAGCCATAAACATTTGCCGTTGCCATTTGCCCATTTTCGCGCGCGTTTTAAACAAACAAAAAAAAAAGACAATATGTATAAAAAAATAAAAAAAGAGGAGGGTAACAGTAACAAATAAAAAATGATAAAGAATTTTATTGCTCACACGCAAGAAACAAACAAAACGATAGAAGCCGAAAAGCAAATAAAGTAAATGGCTTTGTCGCATTAGAATGCAACCCCTCTATTACTTTACTACAAATGGCTGGCAGTTTGATATTTTGATTGTCTCCCAGCCCCAGGTATTTTCAGTATTTTGGTATTTGATTAGTTGACACATAAAATGTGTCATTCCCTTGAAAAGGGATATTTAAATCCTGAATCTTCAATCCTCAATCCCGCCACAATCCCCCATCTCGAAAGGATTGGCTAAATATAAGAGTGCCTGCCAAAGCTGGTTTTGTTTGCCTTTTAGCCAGGGATATACATATTATAGCCTGTCGAAAAATGTATCTCGAATCTGTTTACAGGTGAGAGGCTTCATTCAAGCAAAGTTTTAATTGTATAAAATATTGTGCAATGTTAACCCTAGCAGAGTTGGCCTAACTAAAAACTTGATACCAACAGCTCAATAGTAGCTAAGTTTTCATTTCTGTAGTATTTCAACTTAATTTTCCTTTGGGAAGTCAATTTCGAAAATTGGTAATTTACACTCGATATGATGACTACACAGTTCCCTGTTCCCCATTGGAATTGCCAAATATGTTGATGGGTTAATTTCTGGTCAAAGCCTACTGCTCCTCCTGAGTCTGTTGGTCTAGTAGCTCACCATAAATTAAGCATATGGATATGTGCCCAGCTATAGTTATCCCCCATCCTAAACACACATATTGAGAAGAGGGGCACATGTCTGACCAAACATTTTGTATATGGTACAATTTCTAAATGGAATTTAATTTCCGGATTAGAATAGACATTTCGTGCAAGCTGAGGAATGGAGTAATGCACAGGACAAACTGAACTTTGAAGGGTGTCTAGAGTCTGGAGTCTGGACTCTGGAGTGCTTTTCTACCACATTACCATGCCAAAACTATTATATCCTAGCTGAAGAGCACAGAAAGAAAATGAAATAGTTTAGAAAGAAACGATTTAATAAAAAATTATCTAGAAACTTTGGATCTTGATGTAATTCACTTTTTCTTTTTAAATTGTTTTATAATTATTTGTATATATTTTTCAATCTATTTTCCATATATTTTAAGTGCATTTTGGACTTGTTCTTTTCAGATTTTTCACTGCCTCAATGAACAATCACAACAAAAGTTCTTCATATGTGCCGCACAGAGGCGGAAATTTGTGGGCGTGGTTAGTAAAATGTTCTAAAACTAGCCACCTCTAGCTTTTCTCACTCCATTCGCTTTCTTCTTGGTTTTTGTTTAAAATTTGCCAACAATTTTCCCAACAGCTTCCATAAGTTGAGAGTGTAGAGGATCCTGATTGAATCTGTTAGAAAATGAGAATGCCTGACAACGATAAGGGGGAGGAATCAGTCACCTTTGTGGGCTTGATTTAAGCCCAACTCGAGTTATTAATGTAATTTGATTACATTAACAGCAGCAGCCAAAGCAGGCAAGCCAGACAAAAGCCAATGATGGCTTTGGGAGCAAAAATGGTAATCATGATATTGTTTATGAACCGAATGATGAGCTGACATTGCAGTCCAGTTAAAGGTTAAAAATGACGCCCAGCCAGGGAGCTTCCTTAGCAAAGGAGTCTAAATTTTTTAATAGAGTGTAAATTACCGGAAACACAATTAAAAATGTTCCAGGCTAAAATATCCCAGAACCAGTAGACAAAAGCTCACATAAACAAAGGACCAAGGCGAACATGGAGCTGGCGAAGGGTTAAGGGGTTCGAGAAAATTGAAAGGATCCCAGGGGTTGGGGTTAAAATAAAGGGAAATCATTTGAGGCTAACTGCAGGTTTCTCAATCACAAAACGTGGGTGGGCGGTGGCTTAGCCACCTCGTTAGTAAGGAGCTGAGGACTTCAGCTACTTAACAACCCTTTCCCGTTTGGCCCAGCCTTCTAAATCGTTTCGGAATTTTCCAAGACGCTAAACGGTCGACAATGACGTTGAGACGTTGGCCCAGGGCGGGCTAAAAATTGTCGGAAACACCTTGTTTTTTGACTGCCTCTAAGACTCCCCCTTTCTCCGTCATATACCGCCTCCATTTTCACAAGCTAAGCACTTTACCACCCACGGCTATTGTTGTTGCCCGGCGCATAATATGCTCATTGTTTATAAAACAAGCCCGAAAACAGGTCGCCGCCGTCGCCGGTGAAGCAAATGTTGAACGGAAAACATCAAGCCTGGGTGGCAAGGGTGTTAAACTTGGAGAAGGAGTAGGTTATATGGGTTAATAGTTTGGCAAAATGTATGGTTAGTCATAGAATTTTGATCAAGGATTGGTTGCCTAAAAAAAGAAACCTAAAATTTATAATTATAATATTTTTAACAGACTTAAAAATATATATATTATAATTTCTTAAATCTTAAGTAATAAGCAGTGTTTAAAATTTAATATTTAACCATTTTTAAAAAGGAGAAAACGTATAAAGCAGCTGTGAAATAAATTAGTGACTAAGAATGAAAAAATGAAAATAGACAGAGGCAAGATAGAAAAGTTAAAGGGAGAAGCCAGCAAAGTTTAATATGAAATATTATGTGGAGAAAAGTTTCATGAAGCTGGTATAAAGCTAGTTATGAACCTTTGTAAGGTGGAAACAATTCGCGAAGGTCTGGCAGTAGATAAGGTTTTAATACCCTTTACGAAATATTTGCTATATATAAAAAAATTATATATTTCTTAGTTAGTTAACGATAAAATATATAAAATGCTTGAGATAACGATTTAGAGAAATATATTTTTTATATATCTTTAGAGTATCTCAAACCTATATCACCCCGAACCTAGGTCTTAACCTGCTTGGTGTAACTGCTAGATACAATTTATTTTAATTGCACAAAGTAGTTGGCCACCTTGCTGGGCTGCAGCAGCGGGACCAATTAATTTTTATTTAACTCGGTCTCAGTTGGGATTTTCGGTCAGTGACAACTTTTACTTGGTTTGGTCGTGTTTCCTTAAACGATTTTTATTAGAATTTCTCATAACAAATGATCGGTAGAATCCCTTTAGGTTTAATCTTTTTTAAGCAAAGAAAATCTATGAATTCTTTTAACTTAAATATATTTATTTTTAATACATATTATTTACACTTTTAAGGGGCGGCTATGGCCTGTTCGTATTTTGGAGGAAGTGCGGATGGCATTTGCTGTTGTTGTTGGAATGGTGGTTGTTGGAATTGTTGTTGTTGTTGGAATTGCTGTTGTTGTTGGAACTGCTGTTGCTGTTGCCAATTATTCGCTGTTTGGGCTGGAACCACATTGGCCGTTGTGGTTATGGCGCCTCTAGCTGGCGGCATGGCCACTTGAGCAGAAACACACCCTGAAGTTGGATTTTGGACCACCACAACGCCACGAGACATCAAGCGGCGGCATCGACGGCAAGGACTTCCCCAAAGCCAAGGATTCGAATAGTAGAGGAGTCCTCGACGATGGTGGCACTCGATATTGACATTAATGTTGCTCATTTTTGTTCGATTTTATTGTAAGGTCTTTGTTTCTTGGGTTCACAGTGTGCACTGGCCAATTCGAACGCGGGGCTTCAGTATTTATCATTTCATAGTTTCACATTTCACATGGAGTGCGATAAGTAAATCCTCAAGAGCACTTTATCTATGCATTGATTGATCAACGAGCGCTGGACGCTTTGGTGATAGTAGTATACCAGGGCTGGCCAGACGAAAAATAAAATAAATATATTTTTCTGTTTGGCTTAGGTCATTGAATCATTGGGGCTTTTTCAGTAGGGGTTGCCTGAAGATCAAAGTCAACGTGTGACTCATTCTATGTCATTGGAAAGTACATGGAGATTATTGATAAACGATATAGATTTTCATGCACTTTTTATATCACTAAATTAATTATTTGTATACCCTTGCAATGCAGTGTAGGAGTAAAGTATATATATTTTTAATCAGGATTACATCCTGAGGTGAGCATGTCCGACTGTCTTTTTCTAATCGAAGATCATAAGGATCGGCTGACTATATTCTATAGCTGCCATATAACTTAGCGATCGGAAGTGGTATTTGGAAAGAATACAAGCTTATGTATATTTTGAGATGGAAGCTTGGTCCTTTTTTGAAATTTTGTATTTTAATAATTAGTTTTTATTAAGACATTTTATTAAGGATCGGCCTCATTATAAGGACTATATGCGTTGTTTTCGATATATATCCCATTTTAGAAGCAAGTATTTCAAGTTCGGCTCCGCCAGAAGTTAGCTTAGTGATCAGATTGATTATTTAAATTAATATTGAGAGTATTTAATATAATTATTAGTATTGGATAAGATAAGACACAAAAAAACATAAAATAGTTTGCTTTAATATTCATTTATTTAATTCATTTATTTTTTTGTTTGGCTATAACCTAAATGGTGATGACTGCGGGGACCACACGTGTAGTAGTAGCAATGGTGGTGGTAATAGGAACTGCCACCTGAGCGGGAACCACTATGATGTTCCTGTTCCTGCGGTTGTGCAATCTGTATAGAAGTCCTTGGCGGCGAGGCTCGCACTGAATGTTGACATTGATATTATTCATTTTGTCAAAGTTGTTCTCCACTCTGCTAAGGTATTGTAACTGGTTATAAAATTAATTTTCTGCACTTCTTTATTCCTATTTATATGATTTTTTTAAGACCGATAAGGATATCTCTTAATACCTTAAGCAATTCCTCGAATCGCACAAGTTGTATCGTGACTGATTGTATCTGTGTATTTCGTTTTAATTTTCAATTCGTTGACTCATTTGAGTTCCTAGAGGTTTCCCAAAAGACAAAGTTTAATTCAGTGGCACAATTAAAGGTATCCATTCTAATCAGGACACTAAATTATGACTGATGTTTAATAATTAATTTAAACAAATAATTTTCCGGTGGGTTTTCTGGGTTGATCATGGGAGGCTAATATCGGAGACCCACTGCAAAGACTATATATTGCCCATTTTTCATCCGATCCTTGAACGGAGTACCTTAAACGATTTGTGGATCGATTCTGCATAAATCTGCATCAAAATCTGGGATTAAATTATTTTTTCACTTTTTTGTCCATTTTTCTGATGGATACCCTTCAAAAATGGGGAAAACGCATAGGAGGCCAATATGACGCCTTGCGAACGCTACATCTTTGTCATTTTGTATCCGATCCTTGAACGGAGTACCTTAATCGATTTGTGGATCGATTCTCCATAAATCTGCATCAAAATCTGGGAACAAATTATTTTTTCACTTTTTTGTCCATTTTCCTGATGGATACCCTTCAAAAATGGGGAAAACGCATAAGAGGCCAATATGACCCCTTGCGAACGCTATATCTTTAGCATTTTTTATCCGATCCTTGAACGGAGTACCTTAAACGATTTGTGGGTCGATTCTCCATAAATCTGCATCAAAATCTGGGAACAAATTATTTTTTCACTTTTTTGTCCATTTTCTTGATGGATACCCTTCAAAAATGGGGAAAACGCATAAGAGGCTAATTTGACCCCTTGCGTACGTTATCTCTTTGGCATTTTTTATCCGATCCTTGAACGGAGTACCTTAAACGATTTTTGGATCGATTCTGCATAAATCTGCATCAAAATCTGGGAACAAATTATTTTTCACTTTTTTGTCAATTTTCCTGATTGATACCCTTCAAAAATGGGGAAAACGCATAAGAGGCCAATATGACCCCTTGCGAACGCTTCATCTTTGGCATTTTTCATCCGATCCTTGAACGGAGTATCTTAAACGATTAGTGGATCGATTCTGCATAAATCTGCATCAAAATCTGGGATTAAATTATTTTTTCACTTTTTTGTCAATTTTCCTGATGGATACCCTTGAAAAATTGGGAAAACGCATAGGAGACCAATATGACCCCTTGCGAACGCTACATCTTTGGCATTTTTCACCCGATCCTTGAACGGAGTATCTTAAACGATTTGTGGATCAATTCTGCATAAATCTGCATCAAAATCTGGGAACAAATTATTTTTTGACTTTTTTGTCCATTTTCCTGATGGATACCCTTCAAAAATGGGGAAAACGCATAAGAGGCCAATATGACCCCTTGCGAACGCTATATCTTTAGCATTTTTTATCCGATCCTTGAACGGAGTACCTTAAACGATTTGTGGATCGATTCTCCATAAATCTGCATCAAAATCTGGGAACAAATTATTTTTTCACTTTTTTGTCCATTTTCTTGATGGATACCCTTCAAAAATGGGGAAAACGCATAAGAGGCTAATTTGACCCCTTGCGTCCGTTATCTCTTTGGCATTTTTTATCCGATCCTTGAACGGAGTACCTTAAACGATTTTTGGATCGATTCTGCATAAATCTGCATCAAAATCTGGGAACAAATTATTTTTCACTTTTTTGTCAATTTTCCTGATTGATACCCTTCAAAAATGGGGAAAACGCATAAGAGGCCAATATGACCCCTTGCGAACGCTTCATCTTTGGCATTTTTCATCCGATCCTTGAACGGAGTATCTTAAACGATTAGTGGATCGATTCTGCATAAATCTGCATCAAAATCTGGGATTAAATTATTTTTTCACTTTTTTGTCCATTTTCCTGATGGATACCTTTCAAAAATGGGGAAAACGCATAAGAGGCCAATATGACCCCTTGCGAACGCTACATCTTTGGCATTTTTCACCCGATCCTTGAACGGAGTATCTTAAACGATTTGTGGATCAATTCTGCATAAATCTGCATCAAAATCTGGGAACAAATTATTTTTTCACTTTTTTGTCAAATTTTCTAGTGGGCCCAATTCAAAAATGAGGAAAACCGCATAGGAGGCCAAAATATCTGGGCCAAGTTTTATCTTATCCTTACATGGAATGTCATGAACAATTTCCTGATGGCCCCTTGCAAAAAAATCGGAGGGCAATCGGACCCACTGCTATGGCTATATTTTTGACTTTACCAATTCTCTATTAATGCTATGGATTTAAACGTTTTCTTATTTTGAAATGCTCTTTATTTTATTTTAGGACTATTTTTGTCTAGTATGAGGTTACTGCAATCGGGACTGTGGTTGTGGTAGTAGTTGTCGTTGGAACATTAGTGGGGACCACCACAATACTCCTGGACATCATCCTCCGGCATCTACGGCAAGGACGCCCCCAAGCCCAGGGACGAGCTGCGTAGAGAAGTCCTCGGCGATGGTTGCATTCGCAGGTGACGTTAATGTTCACATCAGACATGGCTTTAATTGCTGAATGTTCTTCCAAGTGTTTCCAATGGTAGACTGCTGCCGAAGCTGCTCCTTTCCATTTATTTATTTCAGTTCATATTACCGGTTCCAGAGCGATAACGAAATCCTCTATTATATTGTTATCACTTATTAGATTAATCAAATTTGATGTGTTTGCTGCCGTGATTCATTTTTGACCAGGGCTGGTTGAAGTCAATACTTGAATACTAAAGGCTGACTCATTAAAGTCCTAACTTCTTGGGGTTGCCCTAAGATTTATTAATTTGTATTAGTCATTCAAAATAACAAGAAAACGTATTTCTAAGCTATTAAAATAGAAGGTTGACTTTAAGTAATTTTACCAAAATATAATATAACCAAACTATTTTTTGCAATTAAAAATTCCGCAAGAACTTAAATTCCAATGTAAGTATTAAGTATTTAAGTATTTTGGCAGATTACACAGAAAAGGGAGCCTTTTCATTTAAATTAATTCTATTGATAACCAAGGAAATTAATTCATTTGATTCGCCATTTCATTAAAATTACCCTTAGACAAAACATTTTAAAACAATTAACAGAAATTTCCAGTGGTTCATTGTTTATGGAAAATGTCAGCAGTTACATTATCATGTTTATTAAGAACATAAATGCTAGATTATAAATAGATTTATTCAACGAAAAAAAACAGGCTTTAAATAGAAATAGAAGTTTTTCAATAAAATATACTTAGTTAACGTAAAACAAACCCTCAAGAATAAAATTGTCTTTGGTTTAACAATGAAGTGAAGGCAAATTACATATGTCACTCACAAGGCTTAAGGGACAATTATTTCTTTTTTTTTCAAATGGCAACACATTTTTTATATAACATAAGTTAATTTTTTCCATTTCTCAATTACTGAGTAATTATGCCCGTCAACGTTTAGATACATACATTTTTCACCTTGGTTACTCAACAACTTAAACAAAGTGAGAATATCGTAAGAGTGAACTTTTATTAATTAATACAGTTTTTATTTTAATATAATATTTTATAACAATAATAAAGTAATCAGCAGAGTTTTCAATAAATAAGTGAATATATTTTTCAAGACATTATATGATGTTCAAATTTTTGGGAAATGTACATATCTGGCTCTAAATTTAACTTCTAATTTAAATGATTTCTTTTGCAGACTTTGACTGGTTTTAGTTCACTCCTCCGAACCGCTCCTAGGGGCTATGTCTACCACCTTGGTGGAGGAGGCTGCTGGACAATGATGACCTCCTCAGTTGGGGGCGGACGGCGACCTCCAATCTCGAACTCGATAAAGGGGCGACCGGGACGCATCACATCCACCTCAACGATGGGTGGCGGGGGTGGCTGGTACACCTGGGCCGGCTGGATGACCTCTACAATCTGGGGAGGTGGGGGAGGATAGCGGCTACCCACATCGATCTCGATCACTGGTCGTGGTATCCTTGGGGGCACAATATCCACCTCCACAATGGGTCTGCCATGGTGGTGGTGGTGGTGATGATGACGTTCCTCCTCGTAGTATGGCATTCTGTTCGCTAATGTGTCGCCTTTGACGCTTTTTGAAAACTGAATTTATTTTCGCACTCGCCTAACTATTTAAGGAAGTTTTTATCGCTAATTGGGGGAATTTTTTTGAATTTATCTATGTATGTTTTGCACAGAAGCTCAGCTAATTATCTTGTCAGGTGGACTTAATGTCTCTTCCGATAAAAAATAAGTATTGATAAGCTATTTCCAGCTGAGGGGGAGGAGCGTCAAAGTCAAATGAGCTTTGTTATTCTGGTCTGAATCATAAAACTTGAACTTAAGGGGAAGGACATATTTTGGAAGTGTAAAAACAGTGATTGATGATTCAAAAAAAGATATATCGTGTTATGTACATTTTACTTATAAACATCACTAAACTTTGCAGATTAAAGAAGATTATTTATTCGCAGATTATTTTCTTTCCAATAAATTCAAGATCCCTGGGACATTAGGATTTTTTAAGTAAAAACCTACCGACATATTTGAAAAAGAACACACACATATCTTGGTTTTAGTGATAGATTACTACCGTATTTATTTATACAAAATTATCAAAAACCATTGTCTTTCTTATCAATAGGAAACGCTATCTTCTGCACCTTTTTGTTTTGGTTTGTCATCGGCAATAACTTTAAGGCAACAAGACTATTGCATTATCTTTCGTTTTGGTTACACTTTATCGGAAAAAACATTTGTTTTTGCCATTGGAACATGGTTTTCGTTGGGGATCTTTTCTCCTGAAGAAATCCGGTGTTACCATTGCGAATATGGATTGTAGGGCTGGGGATACTGCTGGTACTGGTACTGTTGGGGATAGTATCCCGCAGTGGAGGCCACTGTCACTCCTCCGTAGGGCTGGGGCATCACCACCTGGGTGCCTGGGGCATAGGTGGCAGCTGGGGTTACGTATACAACCTCGGCGGGCCCGGGCGGAGGCGGCGGCGGATAGAATGCGCCACCCCAATTGGGAACCACATCAATCTCGATATTTGGACGACCATGGTAATGGCCAGCAGGATAGCCACATGGATTTTCATAGTACCGCATAGCTGAGCAACTCCCGAATGGAATCCACGAATCCTCAACTTCACCACCCAGCCAACTGTCTGATACTGGAACCCCAGACCCAAAACAATTTTCACACGAACCGCACTGGAAGTTCGGACTCCATCAATCAGGGTTTATGGGCATTATTCCAGTGGTTAGCGGCTAAGATAAGGTGCACTTAGTCATACTATACAACTGGCGGGGTCTGATAACAATATATGTAGATGTTGGACATTTGTGAACCACCAAGTGAATTGTATTGATCGGGTTTTAGGTATTTGTTTACCACACTATCTCATCTGCAGGTAATCAGTGGTTTTCTCTCAGATAAGCTAGAAATGTATTTTATAGAAATAGAATACTTAGCATATAGATTTTATTTTTGGTAGTTCTTCCAATTCTTCCCATTTTAACAGGTGTTATGATAAGAGTGGCGATTAAATAATCTTAATCTTATGCTTTTAATAAGGAATACTTAAGTATAAGATCAACCATGATTAATTAAGTACAATTTGTAATATTGGTTTTATTTTTTATTTATTTTTCTATATACTATACATGTCTATATATAAATTCTTGTGGTTAAGATCAAAGATTTCTAGTACTGTGGATTGTGGTAGTGGCCACTGCCAGGTGGTGGCGGCGGAGGGTAGTAGGAAGGTGGTGGTGGTGTTGGGTTGTAAGTAGCCGCCTGCTGCACCACCATAACTGGCGGTGGGGGTGGTGGTGCTTGCTGTACAACCACAACTTGCGGTGGTGGACGGTGGTGACGGCGTGGCCATGGTGGTGCAATCTGGACCTTAATGACGGGTCCGCGACGGGGAGGTGGTCCTCCGCAGTGATCGTGGGGTGGGGGTGGCATAGCGGACTAATTTATTTTGCCAAAAAATAATTCCAAACACGTCCAAATACCTTGACTTATTGTTAGTAACTGAACTTTCCAAAATGCGCCAACCATAAGCCCCGCAATTTAATAAAACTCGTCATGAAAAAAGCTCTGATAAAAATTACTCATACGCAGTGTGTACTTCGAACAAAATGGATGGCTAGGGGATTAACCGTGGAAAGTATCGATAAGGAAGAAACAATTGATCGATAGATAGCAGTTAAGTTTTCCAAATTAAAGCTTTTTTTAAAAATGTTGCTAATGAATGAGTTAAATAGAGGTTTAAATAGTCCTGTTTAAACTATGACTGTAATTTACTCTAAAAATTTAAAATTCGTTCAGCCAATATTATTGTAATTATTAAACAAACAAAAATTTAAATAATTGCATTAAACGAAATTCTCTGAAATTCATTAACAGTTTTAAAGGAATGTCCTTCACCATTTTCGCAAATATTTTTCATATTTTAAGCCAGCCTTGATATTTTCCTTGGCTTGTAAATATTTTGTAAATATTGGCACGTCTATTATGTAAAGTTTGCATATTTTATTTTGCCCTGAAGTGGCAAAATATTGGCAAATATTAAATACACGATAATTCCCAGGTCACTTACTTGCCTAAGAACTTGAGCAAACAAATGTGGTATTTTCGATTTATGCCTGGTCATAACAAGACTGCTGGGGCTTTTAGGCTTTTCATAATTGCTGCATTTTGTAAAAACATTCGCACCACTCTAGTGTCATTATGATCAAAGCTGAGGGGCCAAAGGTTTAAAGGGTGTTGTGTGCTGGGAACTGGGGGGTTAGGGGACCAAAAAGTTAAACATGCACAAAGTGGCAAACGAGTTTCGTGGAAAGTTTTCAACTGCCGCAAAAGAAGGAAATGAGTGCCGCATAACTCGCATCATATCGACTGAGATTTGCGGGAGGTGGTGGAGGTTGTGGCACGTTGGTAAGGAGTAAGAGGCGTGGCAGCCAACTTGACAGCGCGTATCCAGTGTAATGAATCAGTTTCTTTTGGCTTTGCCCTGTGCCTACTCTTTTTAGCTATTTTACACTATTTAAAAAGGGTACTTTATCTTTTATATGGCTTAAAATTCAAAATAAAGGATATACAGATTTTATTAGTATAATTATTAATAATTTAACAATTAAAATTATATTTATGCAATATATAATAGTATTAAATCTAAGCTATCTTAAGAGTATTTCCAAATTGTTTTCACTATCTTTTTCTTGGCACATGTATTTCTTACTTTTTTCCCAACTGCTTATGCATATTTTAGGAAATGAATTGCAAGCGGAACCGCCAAGATAAAACGCCTGCGAGTGGAGTCAAGACGGCATCAGAATCAGAAGTGGAATCAGAATCACAAACTGAAGCCCCAACCAGCGAATCGATAACTGTCAAAAAATAAGCCGGCAAGCAACACGCAAGACAGGCGTAGAAGAAAATGGGGGTTGTGGAGTCTTAAAGGAGTGCGATAGTGAAAGGGGAATGGATGGGGTGACACGGTACTAGCGGTGGTTCCAGCGGTGGCGGCGTCGCACAATTTAAATATTTATGACGCTGCGCTTGGTGCACAAGAAACGGAAGGAACCAGGCACACGGCATAGCCAAAAAACCGTAACCGTAAACCTAACCGAGAAACCAAGAACATCAGCTATTCCGAAATTTTGCAATCCATGTTAAAACACTAAGAAAAAATTGGTAGAAAATTTAAAATAAAAATATTTCTTAAAGTCAGAAATAAACCAAATGATTTATAAATGAAGAATAGCTCCGACAGATTGGAGTATTAATATTAAGTATTTATTTTTCTCAGTGCAATTACCAAACTCATACAGACATCTTTAGCAGCGGCGTCAGAAAACGCATTTCCTGCTGCTGTCATGACATGCAGTGCTTGGTGGAGAAACGCGTAATACAGGACGTTCTGGGGGAAAAATAGGGACAATCGACGGGAGGGACCTGTCGAGGAGGGAAAATTTCAACTGCACTGAAATGGTTTACCCAAAAAGGAATCATTGCCTTTGTCGACATATCCGTGGAAGTGCCTCGTATCTGGAAAGTGTTATTCGTGGAGAACATTTTCGAGAACATTTTATTGAGCTACAGTTTTTATGCTTTGGCTGTGACTTTATGATTGATAGAGTTGTTGAAGCTGAAGTTGAAGGAGTCGGAAAAGGATGTTGGTGAAGACATGACAGCTCTGACTTTGGGCCTTATGGTTGAAAAACTAAACAGCTATACAGCAATACATATTTTAACCAAAAATGGAAATAGAAAAAAATAACTCTTATTGACTACAGTTTGAGAGTCACTTACAGTTTGTATTTGTTGCATTCTTGTCAACTTTTAATTGAAAATTGCGGTTTACAGTTGCACAAACATTAAGCTGCACCCCCTCTGTCTCTCCGGCCTGTGACTTTGCCCCGCCCACTGTCCTTTTAGCCGCCCACAAGCCCATTAAGGAACTTGTTAATTTGCATTTTCCATTTCCATTTGCATGAAATTTGTTTCTGTTCGTCTGGGGCACAAAATTAACCAAAGAAACAAAAACCAAACGGAAGATGAAAAGTAAAAACTTGTGCCTCAAATGAGCTGCCTGCGGTTTACAATCCAACAGCCCCAACGACCTTGTTCCTTCTGCACCCCCCTCCCCCTCACAAACACATACGAGAGTGTTTGTTTATGTCCCTGACACGTTCCTTTCTCTGGCCCTTTTGTGACACTCTTGGCAATTTCCGGCTTTCACTTTCTTATGCCGTTTTATAATTGGTTTTCACTTATTGTCACAAACACAACAAATGCTCACAAATTACATAAATGCTCTCAATACACACACGCACTCACTCGCCTACTCTTGGCTATGGGTATCCAGACACTCGCACCCAAATATTGGTTAAACATTTTTAGAACTAGAGGAGGATGGACAAGGCGGCCTTCTGAATCGGAAGGATAAAATGTTGAACACAAAATGTTTGCCAAATATTTTTCGACTTTGTTGCGTAAGATGAAATGACCAAGAACAGGGAGCAGGGGTTCAGTGCCTCTGACCACGCCTCTGCCTCACTGGTATTTGCAGGAGGACACCCCCAGGATTCTATTCGAGTGGAAAAAGCATCGTCTGTCCACTCGAGTGTGCAATTAGGTGAAAATAAGTGGTTCAACAAACGCCTCGGAGTATGCAATCATTTAAATTTCACTTCATTTGTCCTTTTCATGAGTCGGGCCTTGCTTTTTATTGTACACTTGAAGAAAAGCCTTAAAAGACTAGAATAGTTAAACATTAAAACTTGAGGGGTATTAGAAGCCTAAGGCCTGTTTAGGGACCTGTTTCTTTGTTTTAAAAAATGGGTTATTATAGGGGACAATATATTACTTTTTCTTCTCAGTGGATATCCTCCATGATTCCTCTGGTACCTCTTGTGAAATTACAGCACCCAAACGAAATTATTTTGATTTATATGCAGGCAGGCACCTGCCCATTCAACTTCTCGTTTTTTTGTTGCCTTCCGCTGCTTAGATTTTTTTTTCCCCCTGACCTGTTGTTGGTTTGTTTAAGTAATGTTTTTTGTTGTTGTTGCTTTTTCTTTGAGGGGCTAGCCATAGCTCTTGGATTTGTCTAAACTAAACGCTTTGATTTGCGAAACTCCCCAACGCTTTCCGGATGTCAACAAAAACGGAATTTGAAATGCAAATTTAATTTGAGACAAGACGCGACTCGGGGCCAGTACAAGAGGGCTCCTTTGGACTCCCTTGGACCGATGGCTCCTTGCTTTAATTGCCTCAAGAAAAGGACGAAGGTCCCTTTCTGTATATATATATAGGAAAATAGAGGAAATTTGAGACTTGGAATAGGATCGAGGGGGAGCTGACAGCTCAGCGCCTGCTTTGCCTGTTAATTTTGCGCCAAATCAGCAACAACTTTGATTTCGATTTTATGCCATGTGCATAAAATTTTTGCGCTGACTCGAAAAGTTCGCACAAGTGTGGGATGTATTGGGGGTGTGGGCTTGATTTTGGCATAGGGCAAATCAAAACCCTAGCCGAGTGTTTGGCCTGATTGAAATGTTGGCAACTATTGCGCCAAGTACTCACAAGTTTATTGGCAAATTGATGAAGTGTGTTCGCCTTTGCATGCGCATGAGTTTTCCGCAGCCTGCAAAACAATTTTCCCGTTTTCCCATACCCCAAACCCATTCCACGGTACCCCCTCCCCTGGCCACCCTCTCGGCAATCATTGCATGCCGCGTGCAATTTGGCGGCGCTGATATGCAAATTAAGTTGTTGCACTAAACGACGTGCCGGGAAACAGGGAAACCCATGGGCGGCGCAAGGACTCTGCCATGGGCTGCTGGTTCGGTGAGGTGCCTTGGCTTCTCCTGTTTTGGCTCATTTGTATTACAATTCGTCACACAGCAATCCACATGAAGGTTTGGCTGAATGTAAGCGAAAAGTTTGCCTGGTTATGAGCAGCAATGCATTTTCTATGAATTTTTGTGTAAACGAGATGTGAGTGAAAAGTAACTTAAAAGGTAGCCTTTCTAGTACGCAGAAAGTTTTTCGAAAACTTTTATGGTTTGAAACACTCCACATGCAATAATCCCTTATCCAGGTTAAAATTTCCACAATTTAAATACAAGCTTAGGTAAAAGTTCCATATTTTGCTTAAGATATTTCTCATATTAGGTTGATGTGTCATAGACTTTAGAACTGAAGCCTTCCTGTAGCTAAGTTCTCCCCATCAATGAGCCATAAAATAACCCAACCACATTCTCAATCGCCACTCAAATCATAATTGAAACACCTTAAGCCACCTTCTCGCATTTAGATGATTTGTTGCATGTACACAAGATTGCGATTGTATATGTATATATGGTATACCGCCGTTCGTGTCAAGATTTATGGACAAGTTGGAGGAAGGCAGTTAGATTTACATACATCCACAACATTCCTGCATAAATTGTGCATAATCTGGGAAATATGAAAAAGCAAAATACGAACAGCAAGCGTGCACTTCATTAGCTACATAATTTGACAGAAAATTTTGC